TCAGAGCAGAACCTTGGCTGAGTGACGTCACCAAGGCCGTTAGGCAGCAATGTAGGAGTGTAACGAACCACTTAACGGTTGGACCAAAATCACCACACAAAAAGTCCAAATTAAATTATATTTATTTTCAATGTGAAGTATAGCGGATTGGACCGGCTCTGGTTTTGGTTCTGGGTTCTGGTTCGGATTCTGGTTCCGGATCAGGAACCAGTCTATGAGACAGATCGGTTAGTGGTCATGCAGGAGATAACGGAGAGTAAAAGTCAGAATGAGGAAGACCACTAACTGTCTCAGATGAGCTTGGGGGTTCTGGAGACTGACGAGGTCCAAACTGATCCGGATTGCTGCAGGAGAGGCTGAGTCCGGTGAGGGGCTGCAGCTGGCTGCAGCGACAGGTGAGTGGTGAGTCCGTTTAGCGAAGAGACGAGGTCACACAAGCTAGGGTCCAAAACTGGAGAGCAGAAGACAGGAGGTACCGGAGGAGAAGACGAGGAGGCGTTGTCGTGCAGGCGAAGGTCAGAACCGAAAGCAGAAGATGTAATAATCCAAAGGGTCGAGCGAGAGACGATGTCTAGGTGAGTCGTGGGTCCAGGAGCCGGGAGGTCAACCCAGGAGGGGAGGACAGGAACCAGGAGCAGGACAAGAATGAGGAGACAGGTAAACTATGACAAGGGAACATGAAAAGCTATGGGGGAACAAGGCAGGATCAAGAACGCGAGGTATTTACTTGCAGAGAACTGTTTTCAACTACCGGGCAACGAAGTGTAGAAAGAGTGCAGCTTTTAAAGGGTGAGAGAGACAGGTGCAGCCAGTTGAGTTCAATCAGCTGCTGCTGGCTGCAGTGAAGACAAAACTAAACAACCGTGACATCACTCTCAACCAGCATGCAAAGAAGACAAACTAAAATTCACGTACACAAAACATTACCAGAGCAGACAGAATAAATGAAACTCACAGAAAAGATCTATAGCAAACTTTAAAGAGTGATCAGGGTGACAGAGAATATAATCTATGGAACGTGATTCGTGACAAGGAGGGCGGAACGAAAGTGGAGGAAAGACAGGCTGCAGGTCTCTTTTCAAATACTTAGAGATTTGGCGCTGTTATCAGAAAACAGTGAAAGCTGCTAAATCCAAATACTTCTCTGATATAATTACCTCAAACTCTTGCAACCCACATGTCCTCTTCTTAACCCTAAACTCTGTTCTCCACCTCACTGAACCATCTCCTCTGGAAGCCTCGACTGAGCTGTGCAACAACTTCTTACATTTCTTTTTAGAAAAAATTGCGACCACCCTTGCTCTCATTTCCCCTCCAACTCATGACCCATCCATCCCACCGTAATCTGTAGCTTCATTTGACCATTTTGAACCCATCACTCTATCTTCTCTAGAGCAGGTCATGTGCAGCTTGAAACCTTCTGGTTCCCCCTTTGATGTGGTCCCCCCTCGACTACTAAAGGAGGTTTTTCCCACTCTAGGTCCGTCCATTCTTGATATAGTAAACAGTAGTTTATCCACTGGCGTGGTGCCAAAATCCTTTAAACATGCTGCCTCCAGCCTCTCCTGAAAAAACCAAACCATGACCCCTCAGCCGTGTCCAACTTCCAGCCTGTCTCCAAACTCCCATTTATTTCTAAAGTACTGGAGAAAATAATCGAGTCCCAGTTGAAGTGCTTCCTGGAAGGTCACACCATTTTAGAGCTATTCCAATCTGGCTTTAAACCTCTCCACAGCACTGAAACTGCCCTGCTGAAGGTCTTTAACGACATCTTCAGATCTACAGATACTGGTGATTCTGTGCTGCTTGTCCTGTTGGACCTCACAGCCGCCTTTGACACCATCGACCATGAGATTCTCATTGCTAGGTTAGAGCAGTGGGTGGGCATCACAGGGTCAGCCATCAATTGGTTCAGATCCTACCTCACTGACAGATCCTTTTGTGTCTCCATCAAAGATTTTAGTTCCGCAGAGGCAGAGCTTAAATGGGGGGTTCCGCAGGGGTCCATCCTGGGTCCCCTCCTATTCTCTTTATACCTACTGCAGCTTGGTGCTATTTTCCAGAAACACAACATGCCCTTCCACTTCTATGCCGATGACTGTCAAATTTACTTCCCCCTAAGACACAATGGTACATGCTCTATTCAACTGCTGCTCGACGGCCTGGCTGACATCAGGGACTGGATGGCTTTAAACTTCTTAAGTTTCAATGAAAAGAAATCTGAAGTCATGTTGTTCCCTCCAAATGACACTATCACAAACCACTGTATCGACCTCTCCGCTCTAACCCTGTCAGAAAAAAAAAGAATCACTAATCTGGGAGTGATAATGGACCCTTCCCTGAAACTTAACAATTGTGTAAACATGATTGTTAAATCATGTTTTTTCCAACTGAGGCGGCTGTCTAAACTGAAGCCCATATTGTCCAAAAATAACCTGGAGAATGTAAAACATGCATTCATTACATCTAAGCTTGATTACTACAATTCACTCCAGACCTCTATAGCACGACTACAACTGGTCCAGAAGGTAGCAGCCCGACTTTTAACCAGTACAGGCAAAAGAGAGCACATTCCACCAGTTTTGGCCTCACTGCACTGGTTACCGGTTCACTTTCAAATTCAGTTCAAAATACTGATGGATGTATTTCTACAAATCACTGAACAGTTTCGC